GACTCTGTCTCAAAAAAAAAAAAAAAAAGAACTTAATAGGTAGGAGAAAAACAGAAAAACATAACATTTCCTTTCCATTCTATTAAATGAGACTATCGTGACTTGTGCTTCCATGGACCTCAACTTATTTCTGAAATAAGTCATGAACTCATGCTCATTTTTGGTTTATCAAACACATGAAATTTATATCAGGCAATATTTATATAAAATCTAAATCAATCTGTAAGAATTTTGTCCTGTTTTTGAAGTGGGGTGGAGTGATTATTTTGTTATCAGATTATTATCATCATTATTATTATTTTTGAGACAGAGCCTCAAGCTGTCGCCGTGCGTAGAGTGCCACGGCATCACAGCTCACAGCAATCTCCAACTCCTGGGCTCAAGTGATTCTCCTGCCTCCACCTTCCAAGTAGCTGAGACTATAAGCACCCGCCACATGGCTCGGCTATTTTTTGGTTGCAGTCGTCATTGTGGTTTGGCAGGCCCGGGCTGGATTCAAACTTGCCAGCTCAGGTGTATGTGGCTGGCGCTTTAGCTGCTTGAGCCACAGGCGCCGAGCCTCAGATCATTATTTTGTGATCAATCACAGTGGATAATGTTTTCTATGGTTTGATTAGCTTTTTGGTTTTTGCTTATGAACATCATAATTGCAATAAAAGAAAAACTCTTCAAACCTCTGAGTCCCTATCAATATCCAGTTCAATAGTAAATCTAGTGAAAGTTAACAAGTTTTGCTATGGGAGCACTTACTATAAATACAGACTTTACACAAATAGTAAAGTTTAGAACATTCTGTCTAAAATGCTGAATTGTCCCTTGGAAGTAGAAGAAAAACTTAAATCAATTTGCTAGCTAGTTAATTGTTTAAATATTGGAACTTGCAACACAAATCATGATTTCTAAGATTTATATTGGAGAAAAACTCAGCAAGGAAAACACCGTCAGCATTTCTAGTAACTCTGCTGTTGAAAGCATCAATTTTAATGCATACAAAAATATGGTCACATTTTGCTATCAGAATGTGTTCTTTCATTCTCAAATGGAACACCATAATTATATGCATTAAACAGGATTTTAAAAGTAATGAATAAAAGAGGAAAGAGAAGAGAGAAGATGGGGAAGGACAGGAGGAGAAAACGAGCCCATGTTCTTCCCAATGTGGATTCAATGTGATATGAGGTCTGACAGTTAAGTTTTCCAACTCGTCCTAAAAATGGTGCTATATATCTCAGTGCTGAATATCATTATGGTCACCAGCTGGCCAAAGGAGTAAGTCCTTTGGAGGTGACTATAGTGATACTCAGCAATGCTGGATGTAGCACCTTTTCTAGGGCAAGTTTGGAAACTTAATTGTCCAGCCACCCTATGGGCAACACAACCTCTGGCAAACTTCAGACCACAGACAACATGTTTTAGATGTCCACTGAATTAAAATTTGTGGCTCCCAGATTTCAAAGGTGTTAATGTAGTAGTTTGCTGGGAATTATCAAAGGCAGAGAAAGTACTACCACATGGTAATATCCTAGCTATAGAAAATAACTAGCACTAGGTGGCACCTGTGGTTCAGTGGGTAGGGCGCTGGCCCCATATACCGAGGGTGGTGGGTTCAAGTCCAGCCCCAGCCGAACTGCAACAACAACAACAAAAAAAGTCAGGTGTTGTGGCGGGTGCCTGTAGTCCCAGCTACTTGGGAGGCTGAGGCAAGAGAATCGCTTAGGCCCAGGAGTTGGAGGTTGCTGTGAGCTGTGACACCACAGCACTTTACCTAGGATGATAGCTTGAGGCTCTGTCTTAAAAAAAAAAAAAAAAAGAAGTTTCCTACCATAATGGGAATTTCCCTAACCAGAAAAACAAACCACAGGCCACTCAAATGATCAAAAGGAAAGTATGGGTTATCACCCTAACATTTTAGGTTTAACGTTGTTACTACCACAATGATGCCGCATACTAATATCGATGGTTATCTGTATATTTCTGTGTGGCACTGAGATTTTCACATACTTTTTCTTTTGCTCTTAAAAACATCTAGGAACATATACTTCTTCAAGGTAAGACTTTTCCTGCTGATATAGCACCTGATTTCCTACTGGATTCCAATATACAATACTACATTTCTATTAATGAGATGATATTTTTCATTTTACGCTTTCAAATTACTCTCTGTATTTGACAAAAAGTACTTAATATTTTTATTTCCAAAACCTTTTCTGTAAAATTGGATGCTTCTTACACAGAACTGTGTGTCTCAGAGAATAGCAATTCTAATGGGTATGTTCAATTCTTTGTGTTATAATTTCCTTATTTACCTTACAGGCCCCTGCTAAATTCACCAGACTACAAACACCAAGGAGATAATTTAGACAGAAGTCCTTTGAGATAAATAAAGCATTATGCAAAACACACCCAGGCTGATATTGACCCTAAGAGTAACTAGGGATTAAGCCTGGTCCCTTTGGGAAATAGCATATAGAAAGAACTTCCTCTCTGTAGCTAGGTGGTAAGATCTGCAAGGTTCTTGGCCAACAGCTGAGTAACCCTAGGGAAAAGTTTAAGGAGATTGAGGTTGGCAGGAAGCTGAATTTTCTTGCCAATAGAATCAGCTGATTGTGCTTGCTTCGGCAGCACATATACTAGAATCAGCTGGTTTATGTGATAGGCATTGAATTTGAAGTCGGCATTTGATTTCCACCCATTGGCCAATAGTTTAAAGAAGAGAGAAGACAATGTCTACTAAATTTGTTTTTTATTTTTTTTAAGACAGGGGCTTGCTCTGTTGCCACGTGGCCCTGTGTAGAGTGCAGTAGCATCATCATAGCTCACTATAACCTGAAACTCCTGGGCTCAAGCAATCGTAGGGCCTCAGCCTCTTGAGTAGCTGGGACTACAGGTGTGGCTACAATGCCTGATATTTTTAGTAGAGGAATCTGGCTCTTGCTCAGGTTGGCCTACAGATTCTCCCAAACTGAGCTTAAGCAATCGTCCCACCTGGGCTTCCCAGAGTGCTAAGATTACAAATGTGAAACCACTGCCCTCAGCCAGACTATTAAGAGATCAAATGTCCCAGCCTGAACAAGAGTGAGACCCTTACTCCACTAAAAATAGAAAAACTAGCTGGGTGCTGGGTGTTGTATCAGGCGCCTGTAGTCCCAGCTACTCAGAGGCTGAGGCTGAGGCAAGAGGATCACTTAAGCCCATGAGTTTGAGGATGCTGTGAGCCATGGCACCATGACACTCTAGCCTGGTGAACAGAGTAAGAGTCTATCTCAAATTAAGGAAAAAACAAAAAAAAGGATGGACAGCACCTGTGGCTCAGTGGGTAGGGCGCCGGTCCCATATACAGAGGGTGGTGGGTTCGAACCCAGACCCGGCCAAACTGCAACAACAACAACAAAAATAGCTGGGCATTCTGAAATAGTTGGGCATTCTGGCAGGTGCCTGTAGTCCCAGCTACTTGGGAGGTTGAGGCAAGAGAATCACCTAAGCTCAGGAGTTGGAGGTTGCTGTGGGCTGTGATGCCACGGCACTCTACCGAGGCTGACAAAGTAAGACCCTGTCTTTACATTAAATAATAATAATACTACTACAAAGAGCAAATGTCTTTGTGGGTAAACATAAAATCACAACTCTTGCTAAAGAGACACCTTGGTTTAACACAATTACTGAATTTTCTTTCAGAAGCTGTTGTTGCATAGAAATTTCTTATGATTTAGTTCTCTACAATTCTAAATAATTTTTCCTGAAAAATACCTCCAGTTACACACTTCATCCTTTTTGGGGGGGCATGGGGGAGACAAAGTCTTACTCTGTGGCCCCAGGCTAGAGAGCTGTGGCATCGTAGCTCACAGCAACTTCAATCTCTTGGGCTCAAGTAATCCTCTTGCCTCAGCCTCCCTAGTAGCTGAGACTACACGTGCCTGCCACAGCATCCAGCTAATTTTTCTATTTTTAATAGAGACAGAATCTTGCTCTTGCTTAGGCTGGTCTCAAACAATCCACATGCCTCAGCCTACCAGAGTGTTAGGATTACAGGCATGAATCACTGCACCCAAACCTGCTTCATCCTTTAACACTGCCCAATTAGCTGAAATCTGAACACTCCTCTCAGGTGTACTTAAAATGAAATGTTGTAAACATAATCAGCTGGTTGAACTTTCTAGCCTCTTATTAATTTCTTATACAAAATTCTCAAGAAAGGGGCTAGCTTTTACTGAGACTACTTGTTTTAAACATACGTCAGAAGGGAAAGTACAAAAGTAGGGGGAAAAGGCTAGAAGGTGCTACATTAAAATGGCAGCAATCTTTTCTACTGGTTGGTAAGATTATAACCAGTCTAATCTTGATTTTGGTGCACTGGCCCATGTTTTCTCTTTCTTTTTATTTTGCTTTCAACCATGATCAGTGAAGAAGGTTCATATTTTCTACAATTTGTTTCACAAATATCTTTCACGTCTTTAACAGCTGTGTGGGAGAAAAGTGTCTCAAGAACGCTGGATAAATGAACACCTCAGATGCCACTGAAATGGTCACACACTTAACAGGAATTATAAGGCTCAGAAAAGTTTGTTTCATAGCTAGCTAGACCTGCTTGAACAATGCTAAGTGCATAATATATATATATATATATATTTTTTTTTTTGAGACAGAATCTCATTCTGTCCCCCTGATTGGAGTGCCGTGGTGTCACAGCTTACAGCAATCTCAAACTTGGGCTCAAGTGATTCTCTTGTCTCAACCTCCTGAGTATCTGGGACTATAGATGTGTACCATGATACCCAGCTAGTTTTTCTATGTTTAGTAGAGACAGGGGTCTAGCTCTTGCTCAGGCTGGTCTTGAACTACTGCACTCAAGCAATTCACTGGTCTCCATCATTTTTTTGTTAGAACTAAGGTCTCAGTCTCACCATGTTGCAAAAACTTGTAGCCACATGTGATCCTCCCACCTCAGCCTTCCTAGTAACTGGCACTATAGGCATCATGCCCATTTTTGTTTGTTTTTAAGCAGAGATGAATAGCATTTTAGAAAAAATCAAAGTAAAGCATATTCCCTTTTAAGGGCAATTCATTAGCAAAATTTAACAAGGTGTTTTAAACTCAACAGTCATGGAGCACCATTAAATATTCACACACAAGAAGATCCAGGCAGCCTAAAGATTAACATTTCCTTCATCATAAGATAGCCAAATGACTTGCAACAAGACAAAATATTCAGTGCATCTGGTTGGGGCCGACACGGATGATGACATGTTTCTCATAAGCCCGTTTCATTGTTTTCTCAATTTGCTTCAGAAAAACTTGCGGGATTCGTCCACATAAAGTGTGCACAGTCTCCAAAAACTTCAGCTGCAGAGGGTAATACATGGATTGAAAGAGATTATCTTGAAAAGGAAACTGAAAGATGATAAAAAAAAAAAAAAAAAGAAAAAGAAAAGTTTATTTTAGTTACTGAAATGGCATGTTAAATGCAAATCATTTTTACTAAGAAATGACCCGGGAGAATTAGCGTTTAAGCGCTAAGGCACAAGACTATGTGTTCTTTTTTTTTTTTTTTTTTTTTTTTTGAGACGGAGCCTCAAGCTATCCCCCTGGGTAGAGTGTGGCATCACAGCTCACAGCAACTTCCAACTCCTGGGCTTAAGCGAGTCTCCTGCCTCAGCCTCCCAAGTAGCTGGGACCACAGGCGCCCGACACAATGCCCGGCTATTTTTTGGTTATAGCCATCATTGTTGTTTGGCGGGCCCGGCTGGATTCGAACCCACCACCTTAGGTGTATGTGGCTGGTGTGTTAGCCACTTGAGCCACAGGCACTGAGCCAAGACTATGTGTTCTTAAACAGTAAACACTATAGAGGGGATCCTGTATAGGGATCCAGCCCTCTATGGATTTAAGTTCAAATCCTGACTCAGCCATGCAAATGCAGGCAATCACTTACCCTCTCTGGACCTCAGCTTCTTTCTTTCTTTTTTTTTTTTTGCAGTATTTGGCCGGGGCTGGGTTTGAACCCACCACCTCCGGCATATGGGGCTGTTGCCCTACTTCTTTGAGCCACAGGTGCCACCCATCTCAGTTTCTTTTTTTTGAGACAGAGTCTCACTATGTTGCCCACAGTAGAGTGCTCTAGTGTCACAGCTCACAGCAACCTCAAACTCTTGGGCTCAAGCGATTCTCTTACCTCAGCCTCCCAAGTAGCTGGGACTATAGGCACCTGCCACAATGCCAGGCTATTTTTTAACCCACCAGCATTAGGTGTATGTGGCTGGCACTGTAACCATTGTGCTACAGGTGCCGAGCCTGGATCTCAGTTTCTTTACTTCTTTTTTTTTTTTTTTTGAGCAGAGTCTCATTTAGTCGCCCTTGGTAGAGTACCATGGCATCATAGCTCACAAGCAACCTCAAACTCTTAGGCTCAAGTGATTCTCTTGCCTCAGTCTTCTGAGTAGCTGGGACTACAGGTGCCTGCCACAATGCCCTGCTATTTTTTAGAAACAAAGTCTCACTCTGGCTTAGGCTGGTCTCAAACTTGTGAGCTCAGGGCAATCTACCTGCCTCAGCCTCCCAGAGCACTAGGATTATAGGTGTGAGCCACGGCGCCTGGCCAGTTTCTTTACTTTTTTTTTTTTTTTTTTGCAGTTTTTTGCTGGAGTTGGGTTTGAACCTGCCAACTCTGGCATATGGGGCTGAAGCCCTACTCCCCTGAGCCACAGACACCGCCCTCTTTACTTCTTCTTCTTCTTCTTCTTTTTAAATAGAGACAGAGTCTCACTTTATCATCCTTGGTAGAGTGCCGTGGCAACACACAGCTCACAGCAACCTCCAACTCCTGGGTTTAAGCGATTCTCTTGCCTCAGTCTCCCACATAGCTGGGACTACAGATGCTCACCACAATGCCTGGCTATTTTTGTTGTTGTTGTTGTTGCAGTTTGGCAGGGGCTGGGTTTGAACCCACCACCCTTGGTATATGGGGCCAGTGCCCTACCCACTGAGCCACAGGCACTGCCCTTTACTTCTTTACAAAAAAAAAAAAAAAGGATTTACTTGGGTCGTTAAGGCTCCTAAAATCTAAAAACAAAGCGTCTCTCTAAGGACAGGATAGTCTATATATAGCATGTAACACCAAGTGGAAGCAAGACTCAAGTACATACTCACTTGACATCTGTAACAACAAAACACTGAATTCTTCATATTTTTTGTCTTTGAAGCAATCTGTTTTCACTTTTCTTTTTAAATGTATATATTTCCTTTCCTTTCCTTTTTTATTTTTAGAGACAGAGTTTCATTTTGTCACCCTCAATAGAGTGCTGTGACGTCATAGCTCACAGCAACCTCTAGCTCTTGGGCTTAGCCGATTCTCTTGCCTCAGCCTCCCGAGTAGCTGGGACTACAGGCACTCACCCCAACGCCCAGCTATTTTTTTGTTGCAGTTTGGCTGGGGCTGGGTTCGAACCTACCACCCTTGGTATATGGGGCTGATGCCCTACCCACTGAGCCACAGGCGCCACCCATCTATTACCTTTTTATAAGAGACAGGGTCTTGTTCTATTGCCTAGGCTAGAGTGCAATGGCATAATCATGGCTCACTGTAAATTTAAACTCCAGGGCTCAAGTGATCATCCTGCCTTAGCCTCCTGAGTAATTAGGACTACAAGTGGGTACCACCACACCCTGGAAATTTTATTATTTTATTTTTTTTAGAGATGAGGTTTTGCTATGTGGCCCAGGCTGGTCTCAAATTCTGGGGCTCAAGCAATCCTTCTGCCTTGGCCTCCCAAAAGTGCTGGGATTACAGGCCTGAACTACCAAACCCTGCCTGAAACATCTGGATGAAGAAACGTTAGGGCTTGTCCATGGTAATCTCTTGGAAGTCCAGAATTTAGGACTCGACTAGTGCAATTTATTAGCAATGAACTTTATTTTAATAATTCAGGTACCAAATATTGGCAGTTGTTTATTTGCCCCTTAATATTTAGTCTTTGCGGTTTTTATCTGTTTAAAAAAATTCTCTTGATTTTTCCTGGAATATGTCCATAAACAGCATTATGCAAAAGAAAACTTTCAGACCAGTTAGTTATGAGTCATAGATCATAGCACCCTCACACCCGTGGGCTCAAGAGATCCTTCTTGCCTCAGTTTTCATTTTCAGTACAGAAAATGAAAGTAGACCCTCCCCCCACTCTTGCTCAGGCTGGTCTTGAACTCCTGAGCTCAAGCAGTCCACCCACCTCAGCCTCCCAGAGTGCTAGGATTACAGGTGTGAGCCACTGTGTGTGGCCAACATGTTAAAAAAAAATTTTTTTTAGAGACAGAGTCTCACTTTGTCACCCTCAGTAGAGTGCTGTGGTGTCACAGCTCACAGCAACCTCCAGCTCTTGGGCTTAGGTGATTCTCTTGCCTCAGCCTCCCGAGTAGGTGGGACTACAGGCGCCCACCACAACGCCCAGCTATTTTTTGTTGTTGCAGTTTGGCCGGGCTAGGTTTGAACCCGCCACCCTTAGTATATGGGGCCGGCACCCTACTCACTGAACCACAGGTGCTACCCAAGGGTATTTTTCTTTCTTTCTTTTTTTTTTTTTACAATTTTGCAGTTTTGGCCAGGGCCAGGCTTGAACCTGCCACCCCCAGTATATAGGGCTGGCACCCTGTTCCTTGAGCCACAGGCGTCACCAAGGGGACTCTGTTTTTGGAGACAGAGTCTCATGTCACCTTGGATACAATGCCATAGAATCATCATCATAAATCATAGCAACCTCAAACCCCTGGTCTCAAGTAATCCTCTTGCCTCAGCCTCCTGAGTAGCTGGGACTACAGGTGCCCACCATGACTTTGGGCTAGTTTTTCTATTTTTAGTAGAGATAGGATATTGCTCCTGAACTCCTGTGAGGGCATTTAATATGAAAAGACTTCTAGAAAAAAAGAGAGAGAAGAATGGTTAAAAGTCAGCACCCTCTTTCTGAGAGCACAATGGGTGGGTGTCTAGTTTCTTAGAAAAAAAATATTAATCCCTTTTAGCTTAAATCACATTTATCAGAAATGTCCATTGCTTCTCAGAAGGACATTACATAAAGCAAGAAGGTTCTGTCCCAGACAAAATTTGGGACAATTTTTTTCTTTATTTTTTTGGGTACAATGTTTTTTTTTTTTTGAGACAGAGCCTCAAGCTGTCCCCCTGGGTAGAGTACTGTGGCATCACAGCTCACAGCAACCTCCAACTCCTGGGCTCAAGCAAGTTTCCTGCCTCATCCTCCCAAGTAGCTGGGACCACAGGGGCCCGCCACAACGCCCGGCTATTTTTTGGTTGCAGCCGTCATTGTTGTTTGGTGGGCCTGGGCTGGATTCGAACCTACCACCTTAGGTGTATGTGGCTGGCACCTTAGCCACAGGCACCAAGCCCGGGTACAGTGTTTTTTACTGTGCATTTTTTTTTTTAATTTAAAGAGACAGGGTCTCACTGCTCTGTCTTCCAGGCTAGAGCGCAGTGGTACAACCACAGCAACCTCAAACTCCTGAGCTCAGATAATCCACCCATGTCAGCTTCTTGAGATGCTGAATATACAACAGGTACACACCACCACACCTGAATAACTTTTTAATTTTTGGAGGATATAGGGTTTTGCTATGTTACCAAGCTGGTCTCAAACCTGGCCTTCAGTGATCTTCCCACTTCTGCTCCCAAAGAGCTGGGATTATAGGCTACTCCTGGCCCCATCATGCAATTGAACAATTGATTAAATCTCCTGAGGCCAGGTTTGAACCCCTTTTACCACTCTATCCCCATCAAGGGGAACAGTATAGGTCAAAACTTTGAAGTCACCCTTGATTCTTCTCTTTCCCCAGCATCCTTCATCCAATCCATCAGCAAGTTCTGTACACTGTATGGACAATACATCCTGAACATGGCCACTTCTTCCTGTCTTCTGCAGCCATGCAAGCCCACGCCAGCCCCATTGCTAACCTGGAAGGCTGCATTCAGTCTCACAAATAATCTTGTGTTTTCACTCTTTTTTTTTTTTTTTTTGAGACAGAGTCTCACTTTGCTGCCCTTGGTAGACTGCTCTGGCGTCACAACTCACAGCAACCTCAATCTCTTGGGCTCAAGCAATTCTCTTGCCTCATGCTCCCAAGTAGCTGGGACTACAGGCCCTGCCCCCCCTCAACACCCGGCTATGTTTTTGAGATGGGGGTCTCCCTCTTGCTCAGGCTGGTCTTGAACTCACAAGCTGAGGCATCCACCAACCTCAGCCTCCCAAGTACTAGGAGTGCACCTCTTCTACTATATGTCACCAAAGTGATTTTTTTTTTTTTTTGAGACAGAGTCTCACTCTGTCAACCTCGGTAGAGTGATATGACATCATAGCTCACAGCAACCTCAAACTGCTGGGCTCAAGAGATCCTCC